TACACTAGTCCTCAGGCCCTGCACAGCGGCTCACAAATAATTCCAACACTAGGAGACTGGGCAGAAGGACTAACTCCAGTTTACAGCCAGTGTGGACTACACAACAACAAACAAGAGGTAGGCTGTGGCAGTGCTTACCTGGGACCTAGCCCGTGGGAGGCAGTGGTAGTGGCCCACAGTGAGTCTGGGGCCAACCTGAGACATGAAACCCTGTCTCCAACAACAAAAGGTAATCCCACATCCTAGCCTCAGGCCCAGAGTGTAAACAAAGAGCCTCCAGCTTGGCAGTCAAGAATCCTAGCCTAAGTTTTTACTGTTGCCTATAGTTTATAACTTACATATTCTATAAAGAGAAAACAAGAAACAGCCTGTAAGTCAGGACAGGCCTGGTCTGTTCCTAACTGAACTAACAGATACATCACAAGTCTTTTTTAGAAGTTTGATATTTTGCCTTAAGTTATGCTGAATGAACACCATCCGAGCATACAAGGTAGAAATCTGGGAGAAAAACAAAAACAAAACCAGGAGAGATTAGCTTGGAGTCCAGTGGTATCAGCAATAAATGGTGGCTTCATTTACACAAAGATATTATTGAAGGAATGGTAAAAGATAGGTTATAAGCACACGCCTTTGATTCCAGAACTTGCAAGGCAGAAGCAGGCAGACCTCTGAGTTTGAGGCCAGCCTGGTCTATAGTGCAAGTTACAGGACAGACAGGGCTACACAGAAACCCTGTCTCAAAAAAATATATATATATATAGGTTATAGGTTATTGTATTTATTATCCTAAAATGTAAGACTCATGACAGATACCATTTACCTATATAGTGACATTGTGCTAGAGAAATCAAACAACCAGAATGCCTTGCTTCTTACTTGTACCTCCACGACTTAGTCCTATGCTCAAATACAATGTGTTCAATAAGCTAATACAGTGCATGTACTATTCCCACTTTACAATCATGAACACACACAGTATGCTGCCATCACAAACTTAAAATCTGAAGCCAAGGGGATGGATCCAAGTCAACGTGTACATTATACCATATCACCCACATAAGAAATACATAATTATTACTCCAGTCTTCCTAAATTGTTTTTCCAGCATTATTGCTTTTCAAAGATAAACATCCCCAGGTGCTTCAGTTTCTTCAAATGCTACAGCAGACATTCCAAGGTTACAACTGCAGCATCACAATTTCTTTGCAAGGGTCTGAGGATGGAACATGCAAAGGGCACTGACTCAAGGTAGCTAGCGATGGCTGACCCCACTAGACTCCAGGGCAGTTTGTGGCTCCAGGAACTGGGGCAACCATCATTTCAGAAATAAAATATCATTTAAACCCAATCAGCAAATTGCCTCCATATTTTTGAGTAAGGTTTCACGTTACAGCCCAAAACTCATACCCGATAGACTCTGATGAAGGAGCTTCTCACATCAGTGACTTCACCATTCTGATCCTGATCTCTGTTAGTAACACCTGCTGGGCTTCTATTTCGTACCAGACATTGTATGAAGCTCCATCTCTTTAGTATGGAAAATAAATTTGCAATAGAAACTTTTATTCTCACTATTTCTTTTTCTTTTTTTTGTTTTTTTATTTTGTTTTGTTTTGTTTTTGTTTTTGTTTTTTTCCCGACAGGGTTTCTCTGTATTGTTTTGGAGGCTGTCCTGGAACTCACTCTGTAGACCAGGCTGGCCTCGAACTCACAGAGATCCACCTGCCTCTGCCTCCCGAGTGCTGGGATTAAAGGCATGCGCCACCAACACCCGGCTCACTATTTCATATACAAGAACTGCTGATTGATTGGATATTTTCAGTATCAATTACATGCCTTTTAGGGGCAAAATGAAAAGCAGTGTTGTCTAGCTCCTAAGTAACCCACTCTTCTACCACAGGAAGCTGCTACCTAGAACTTGTCATTGAAGATCTTACCTCAGACATCAACTCTTCTGTGAAGCCTCCAAACCAACCTTCATATAGTCTAAGGATAGCACACTCATAGGGGAAAGAAAAATCCCCTAAAATAAAAAATTATACTGGGAGCCCAGAGACAGCTCAGTGGCTCTTGCCACCAATCCTAATGACCCAGCTCAAACTCCAGGGTCCACAGAGTGAAAAGAGAGCCATCCTTGGACAGACAACCAAGTATGTGATGCATACAAATGCATATATGCACATGTGCACAAAAAATTAACATCTGTGTGTGCAAACAATATAAACAAGTGTAACTTTAAAAAATTATATCCGTAAACCTGGCAGGTGATGACAAACACCTTTAATCCCAGCACTTAGGAGGCAGAGTTCAAGGCCAGCCTGGTCTACAAAGTAGTTCCAGGACAGCCAGGGTTACAAAGCTGTGAGGAAAAAATTACACTGATAGATCCTATATCTACTGTTTCTATTTTCTTCAATTACATTCTTACTGCAGAGGAAGTACTTTATGTATTTATAAAGCGCTCTAAAGATGCAAATCTACAGCAATAAGTTAGGCATACAGTAGGTGGTGGTGGCTCAGACCTTTAATCCCACAAGTTAGAGGCAAAGGCAAGCAGATCTCTACAGAGTTCAAGGCCAGCCTGGCCCACAGAGCGAATTCCAGAGCAGTCAGGTCTACACAGAGAAACCCTGTCTCACAAATAAACAAACAAACAGATGAATTATACATATGTAAATATGTATGTGTTTCAACCCAAAGGCTCAAATGCATCTAAGGACCTTCTTAAACATGTTATAAAAGTAAAATACGCTTTAAATAAATTGATTAGCTTAATAATTTTGGAACCAAAGTTGCCTAGCATAAGTGACTTTAATGTCCTAAATTTATTTCATTTATAAATGAAAACCATGAAACACGCATACTATCTCCTACTTGCTATGTAGCTTTGGCAAATTCTGAGGTTTCCCTAAACACAAATCTGAAAGTAACCTTTGGGACTATCCTATTACAGTACTCTCAAGTTCAGTACAGTATCCTGCTGGCTGTGCTTTTCCATTTTCTCCATTAGAATGTAGATACCAAGAGACCAGGGCCATGGAAGTATTTAGCACCACACCCTAAAGCTTCAAGCAAAACTAGTAGGTACCACCCAAAATAATATAATGCTCATGGACAGTCAAGGGCCCTCCTTGCCCAAACTTAAAACTAGAAAAAGGGTCAATACTGGACCATTGGCCATGTCCAACATTTTTCAACTCTTTAGAAATTTGTTTTCCCACGTGTTATGTACTTTGTTATTAATCGCATAATAAAAAAATAAGGAGCCAGGCGTTGGTGGCGCACGCCTTTAATCCCAGCACTCGGGAGGCAGAGACAGGCGGATCACTGTGAGTTCGAGGCCAGCCTGGTCTACCGAGTGAGTTCCAGGACAGTCTCCAAAACAATACAGAGAAATCCCCTGTCTCGAAAAAAAAAAAAAAAAAAAAAAAAAAAAGGAGAGGGCCAGCAAAAAGGCTCAGCTGGTAAAAGCAAATCATGGTCCCACAGACAGACACACACACAGACACACGCGGGCGGTAATACTTTTTAGAAACCCAGGGAATATTAACTACAAGCCGATTAATAACTTATATTGAATCCAGGATAGCGCAAAGGGGCATTGAATCAGTACCAGAATCACCTGAAGTCTTTCCAAATGAAATTTCACAGGAACAAAAATTCCCATCAAAAAAGCTTAAACAGAGAAGCCCAGACATAAGCCATCTGAGTAATTTCGGGCGGCCATCTCCATCGCCTGTCTCAACATCGTCTTCCCTGTCCCCATTTCTCCATACAGCCAGGACACCTGGGTACTGATCCAGAAAACTCATCGAATTCTCCATCCTTATTTTGAACCGCACAACTCCCGATACCCATTTCCAGTAAAACTTTGCCGACTCGGGACACTAGGAGCCATGCAGACACAACCCTCGTGCTTTTGCTGTCTCCCCCCCGCCCCCACCTCCACGAAATTAATCCTCTAGGGAGAACTTTTCTCCTGGGATTCACATCTCAGCCATCGGGACGTTTTAACGCGACTCCCCGCCACCCCGCTCCCAGCCTCGTCCCTGCTCTTTCCCCTCCCACCGGCTCCGCGGCGCCCAGCAAATGCCGGGTTCCAAACCGCGTAGCTGCGGGGAGCACAAAGGCCCCGCACAGCCCTCCTGGGGCTGCTCCGGGCCTGCGCCCCCCCCCGGGGCCGGGCTACGCCCGCTGAGCGGCGGGAAGCCGGGATGCTCCGTCGGGCCGGCCGCTCGCTGACCCCGACCCCACCCACGCCCCACCCACGCCGGCCACCCCACGGCTGGACCCTCGCCCGGCCAAAGCGAAAAGAGAGCATCCTGGACCCCGAGGCCCAGGCCGGCCGTATCCCAAAGGGCCCCGCCGCCCCGGCCCGGTCCCCCAGGCCCCCATCCACACTCACAGGCTGCCGGAGCAGGAGGTGCACACGAAGGAGCCGACCGTCATGTTCACGTAGGTGGGGCCGCGCTGGTCGCAGTCGAAGCACTTGCGGTTGTGCGGCAGCCCCGTCATGTCCCGCAGCATCTTCAGGTGCTTCTCCTCCTGCTTCCGCTTCGCGCTGGCCGCCATGGCCGTGGCTCGGACCGACGAGGTCGGCAGGGCCGGGAGCCGGCGGCGCTGCCGGGGCCCCGCGCTCCCTCCCACGGGCCGCCCTGGACGCCGCCGCCGCCGCCGCCTCCGCCCTCCTCCGCCCGCGCGGGCTCCGGCCTCGGCCTCCGCTCTGTTCCGCCCAGAAGGACGAAGCGCCGACTCTGCGCAGCGCGCGCCGACCGGTCACACCAACCGGCCGGGCGGGACAACCGCCACTGCCGCCGCCGTCGCCGCCGCCACCTTCCCGACTTCTCCTAAGGGGGAAAAGACGAGGTGGGGGGGGGGCGGCAAGAGGAGGCCCGCCTCGGGCGGCCAGCGGCCAAGTGTGGGCTGTCGCCCTCTGCTGGCTGGGAGGAGTCACTGCGGCCACGCTGCGGCAGGGGTCGGAGCTGGGCGGGGTAGGGAAGACACAATGGTGACAATTAACAGACCTTACCCCCTGGGCGCCTGTACGTGCTAAGCGCTTTGCACAGCTTTCATCCTCCCGAAGGAAACGTTTCCGAGAGCTTTCTCGCTGCTCAAGGGGTAACCCCAAATTCCTCACTTCTTCCACTTCGTCTCCATTCATTCAGCCACTCTAGACTTAGGTTTGTTTCCTCCAGGACAACTTCTCTTTTCATTCCTGCCCTTGCTGTTCTCTATGTAGCATGCAAAGTTTATCAGTTTCACCACTCCTGACATTTTGGAAGGGTTTAATTTTGGCGTCGGGGCTGTCCTAGGTAAGGCATAGTGTAGAGGGGAAGCATGCCTGGCCTCTTTCCACTGAATGCCATGGCCATGTGGCCCCTCTCTTTCCAAGATATAGCAAGCAAAAATCCTTACACATTGCTAGATGTCCAGGAGGACATCTAGTGAGATCGGCTGCTGTTTGGACAAGGCCAGATCCCCCTGGCGAGCGTGTTAGTCACAAGAGGTTCAGCCAGCTCACCCTCCAGATAGACCGGGATCAGTCCCTATATGGTCGCAGTTCACCTCTCTGGGAACAGCTCTCATCCTTTCAATGCCTGAGTTGTTTAATAGTCATTTGAAGGACTGTTTCTCACCTGCTCTGGATCTCCCTTCAGGCTCCAAATGGGCTGCTCCACTCATTCGCCTCCCAGAAGTGAAGGTTCAGAGTTCCTTGCTTGTGGAATGAATGCACTACACGTATCAGACGATCTTCATAGCTGAGCTTTGAGCCAAGCATGATTGGTGTTTCCATGCCACCAATTGAGAGTATGGTGTGCTGGGTAAATTTACTCAGGTACTCACCTACGGAAACCTGAGTTACAACCCTGTCCAAGTCTTTGTCTCTGCAGGAAATGACTGTCAGCCCCTAAGGCAGAGGTTCTCAACCTGTGAGTCTCGACCCTGAGAGGGGTGTGGAATGACTCTTTCAGAGGGATCCCCTAGCACCAGGGGAAAACACATATTTACACTGCCAACAGTAGCAAAATTACAGCTATGAAGTAGCAAACGAAAATAATTTATGGTTGGGGGTGTCACCATGACATGAGGGTCGCAGCATTAGGAAGGTTGAGAACCACTGCCCTGAGGTATGAGGAAACCATCTGTATCCTCATTTCCTAAAAGTATGGCGAGACTCGGAGAGCTGAATTACAGAATTCTAACCCTGCCCCCACCACAGATGGAGTCATTTTCACAGGAGAGGCATTCAAGTTTCTTAGCTGGAAATGCTGAGTCAGTCCAGGGAGCTGGCAGGTTAACGAAACAATAATAGTAAATGCCTTTACTATTAAAAGAGGGGGACAGACAGTTTGACTAATGTGTTTCTGAACTGTTTCCTCTATGAAAAATATTAGAAAGCCTAGAGCCCCTCGTTCACCTTCAGCAACTATCAGCTCATGCCTCATCTTCCTTATTGACACCCTTGACCCCTCTCTGTCCCCGTTCCTAGCCTAAACCGTAGCCATCTCATCATTTATTTAAAACACATTCACTTATATCGCTGAAAAAGAACAATCCCAGGACTTGTGAGAATGTAGCTCAGTAGCAGGGTGCTTGCCGTGGATGGACAGGCCCTGGGTTAGATCCCTAGCCCTGGAACAGTAAGAATTACCCCCTTCCCTTCTCTCATGTAACTACAGGACAGCTGGCACACATAGGAAGTTAGAAAGAAATCCCTGAAAGCCATCGAATGTCCCACCACTATTGAAGTAACGCTACTATCAGTCTTTTTGAGTGTTTTATACTTTCCCTGATTCCTTAGTGTACAGTTGGAGTTAAGCAGCATCGGAGCACAGTCCAGAAATGGAGTCCTATGAGGAGGTTTCTGAGAGTTTGTGAAAAAACTGTAAGAAACCAAAAAGGAGTCCTGTGACTTTGGTTTCTTCAAAGACACAGAATTGTTCTTGGACTGTGTTCTTCCCGGGTGTGAGTTTACTACCGATTGTGTACTACAACTGGCTATTATCTCACACCCTCTCTGGAAAACCTGCTTTCACCACCGAAGGCTTGTCCACCATGTGCTGCTTGCCCTTGTGATTGGACATTTTATTCATGTGACTCTTCTTAGCCCTCCAAGAATAAATTGTCTGATGCTCTGAATAAAGTTGGCTGTTGTATGAGACTTTAGTCTGCCTCATTTATTAGCTCCATTCCCTCAGATGCCACCACCTCTAGAGATATAAACAGGTAGTATATCTCATACAGTCTTTTTCTGCTCTCTCTCTCTCTCTCTCTCTCTCTCTCTTTCTCTTTCTATAGTCTCTCACTGCCATTTAACAAATCCCCATTCTCTCTTTTGCACAAATAGAAAGCTAGATCTAGTTTATTTATATGTGGCTCGGTTTAGGTAAGAGCTTTATGTTTTTCCATTAGGAGTCACATATCAAGAGTGTCTTTTCGTGATGTTAGCAATCACTGACAGTTAATGCCTACAGTCATCGGCAACTAAAAGTAATGATATTCTCGTTCTGCCATTCCCATGTCTTATTTGTTTTACCTGAAATATTTCTTTTAAAAAATTCAAAAAAAACAAAGCCAAGCACCAGGATGTGTTCCTTTAATATTAGCACTCAAGAGGCTGAACCAGGTGGGTCTCTGTGAGGTCAAGGCCAGCCCAGTCTACACAGCAACTTCCAGGCCAGCCAGGATTACATGGTGAGATGTTACCTCAATCAATAAGAAAATCTTCCCCACATCTACTAATTGCATATCAGAAAGACTCGATAAAGGTTTGGTTCCTTGCCTTTACTCCCAGATTTCCAAGGGCCTCTATTAGTCTTAGTTCACCTTCTCACAGTGGTGTCATCACATAAAGTCAAGAATCTGGATGGATGTGTGTGATCCATTATACGCCACTGCTGCTGACATCTCACCATTGGCCAGTGGGAGACGTCAGATCCATTGAATTGTTTTCTGGGAAGCCCCCAGGCCGACCATGAGATGAGAGCACGCAGAATACAGGACTGTCAGAACAAAAATGTTGACCCCACTCTGACTAGAGGACATACCACCATAGTCTCTTACTCCTTACTAGCAAATCTCCCATGCCTCCACCCACACACACCCCTTCTTCCCACAGCGCTCGGCTTCTATTCATACAGACTCACTTATTTGTCTGCCTTCTGGCTCTTCATCTCCCCTGAGATCTCTTATCTGACAAAGACCATAATAGGAAGAGTGGAGAGCAACAGTTTAGATAGCTCCTTAAATGAGTGGTTGAATTCGTCGTGTATCTGTTGTTGAAGAGGCAGGAGTTGATGACTTCCAAACAATGGATGTAGAGCCAGCGTAAAGGCATGTGAAGTCTAAGGTACCTTGTCTAAGAAAAACTGGACCACAGGATGTTGCCTTTCTTACCATATGTAAGACGAACATTAACTTCTACTTCAGAGAATAACTTGTAGGAAGGCTTTATGTATTGTCATTCCTTTATCTCAAGGACCCCTCAGATGCTATTATCCCATTTACCGACGAGGAAACTGAAGCTTTGAAAGGCTGTGTGGTCATGTGAACAGTGAGCACGAAGTCAGGACTCCATCCCAGATCTGGCTACAAGGTACCAGCTTCGACTTCCACTGCATTCAAGACAAGTACTATACTAACTGAGCTACAACCCCAGCCTCCCAAGAAGCTCCTTGTGTACCAAATTATGTCTCACTGGCCCAGCCACACATGCTCTGGGTACCACCTTACACCTCCACCACTGCTCTCCAGCCCTGTGTCTCAGTTTTGTATGCCCTCCCTCTTCCCAAAGGGCCTTTCCATACACAATGGTTTTAACTTCCAAAAGTGGCTCATATCTTTCTTCCATCACATCCATCATGTTGCGCTCAGATCATGTTTTGTTTTTAAGGCACAAACACCTAAACACATGCATGCGCGCCTACATGCCTGTGTGTGCACGTGCAAACACACACACACACACACACACAAACACGCACAAACGTGCACACACACTCATGCACTCACTCAAACATTCACACACACACAATCTCTGCAGGTTTTATTCAGAAAGAGACCAGGTCCCAAGTCCCAGGTCCCAGAACTGCATTTTTTTTCCTCCAACACCTAGCATGGGCATGACACTTAGAAAGGGCTCAATAAATATTCATTGAGGGATTAAGTAAACGCAGCTGCCGCCTGCCAAACAGTAAGCTCTCCTCAGTCTGAGGCACCAGGGTTCACCATTCTGTTTGTTGTTGTCTCTGCTGTTTTGGCTCCCAGAATGGCGACAGTTCTGCTAAAGCTACAGTGGTTTTATTAAGGAACTTGCAAATTCTGAAATCAAACCCCCAATGGTTTCAAAACAAAACAAAACAAAAAACCCCTAACCCTTGAATGCTGATGGGCTTGCTTCCAGGCCTTTGCCTGTCTTATCACCAGGGGTGAGTCAGAGAAAATATCCTGAACAAACCCTGATGTTTGGAGAGGCCCCACAGAGCCAGCAGCCAGCTGCCAACTCATCCCCAGCTGCCCCGCCCTCCACTCGATGCTGTAGGCCAGGCCTAGAGGTAGTGCTTTGAGAGCAGAACAGGATAAGCAATAGCAAATCTTACCTTGTTTTTGGTGGAGGTTTCAGTCCTTGGAGCTTTTGAGTGGAGAGAAGAGGACTTTCCCTTCATGGGGGACTTCAGACTTCTGACCACATCTGTTTCCACAGTGCAGCAGAGATCCATTGATAAAACACAAAGATGTTGCCAGATACGAACCTGCTGCCATGGCCCTCCTAGCCACCTCTGAGCTCATATTTTTAGTAGCTTAGACTTGGTGAATAGTCCGGTTGCCTTGTTTTGCTTTCTTGGGGCTACAAGGTCTAAGTTTTATGTCACTTGTTGCTGCACTACTATGACCCTATACATACCTGATAGAGATAACTTAAAGAGGAAAGGGCTTTATTTTAGCTCCTGGTTTTGGGCGGCATGTCAATCTGCCTGGCAGGGAAGGCATGGCTGTGTTCATGGGGCAAGGAGTAGAGGCTGGTTCCCATGTCACAAATCAGGGAACAGAGAGTAACAGGCTGGAAACAGGATCAAATATACAGAGGGCTACCCCTAGAGACTACGTTCTGTCCGCCATATCCCATCCAACCCCATGAAAGGACTCCAGAGCCCATAAAATAATGCCATGGATGCTTGGTTCTACTCCACCTCTACTAAACTTGGAATGGTATAGAGATGACCGATGTGGTCCTGGGAAGGTTGGTGTTAGAGCCTTGTATTCCCCAACCACTCAGGGAGCCGAGGCAGGAGGATGGCAGATTAAGGTCTGTCTTGGCAATTTAGTGAGAATCTATCTCAAAGGTTTTCGTTTGTTTTGTGTTGTGTTTTGTTTGCTTTTTAATGGTAGGGAAATATATAAGAGGTAGTGCACTTGCCTAATACACTCAAGGTCTTGGGTTCAACCTTGGAGTATTGGTTTGAATGAGAGTGTCTAGCCTAGGCTTGGATGTTTGAACTCTTGGTCCCTAATTGGTAGTGCTGTTTAGGGACAGGGAGCCTTGCTGGAGGATATACATCACTAGGAGTGGGCTTTAGGTGTTTATAGGCTCACCACACTTCCGGGTTGCTTCCTCTGCCTTTTGCTTGTAGCAAGTGTTGTGAGCAGTCAGCAGCCTGCCCCTTGCTGCCCTGCCTCCTGCCATCCTGGACTCTTACCCCGGGCAACCGTAATCCCAAATAAACCCAGACTTTGGTAAGTTACATTAATCATGGTGTTGTATCACAGCAATAGAAAAGTGACCCATGCACCTGGGTACCACAAAAAAAAAAAAATCAACAAATAGGCCACCTCTTGACCACAAAGCATCCAAAAACATGAGTCTGTGGGCGACATTGCAGATTAAAAGCATGGCAGTTTAGTTGCTATTTAAAAGATATCTCTCTTCTGAGGCTCCATTTTTATCTTTTTTTCCAGAACCTCAAAACAACAACAACAAAAAGAAAGCATGAGTTCTCTCTGGTTAGCTGCCTTCACCCTATCACTCCTGAGTCCTGACTGGCTTGCATAGCCCCAGAATTTATAGTTCAGAGCCTCAAAGAGGCCTCCAAATCTTTTCCCAAGGACTCCGTTTAGACTGCATGTTGGGAAGCTTCGACCTCGTTCCCCCCTCCTCCAGTCACTGAGGCTGACTCTGCAAATAGGCAGAAGCTGACAGACAGCAAGAAGAATTTATAGTGGAGGCACCCCAGAGCTGTGGGATTCCCTCCTGATGGACATCGTTCCCTCCCCGTGGCATGGCTTTTTCCTGCTTTTGGCCAGAAAGTCAATACTAATCTTTATGGCCCATGTAAGCAAAGGAAACATTAATTCTGGCCCCACAAACTCCTCCAGCCACGCCCCCGCAGGTTTCACTTGGCGAATAGTCACTCAAGCATAACGCGACGAGTCAATGTGATATTTTCCCCTGCTCTTCTTTTGAGAGTGCCTCCCTTCAGCTGTGGTTTCATTATTTTTTAACATTGCTTCCTGGCTTACTTTTTCTCTATTTCAGAAAAGCTGTGAGCTAGAAAGGGGAGAAGGGAAGAAATTACTAAGAAGCAGCAGCCGTGTGCACTTCCTGGAAATAGGGGGCTTTCTGGGCGCTGTGCAGACAGCACCCAGAGTGTCAAAACCAGACACCCAAAAGACGCCAGCTCCTCACCTCCAAATCTGACAAGTGGTCAACTGGCTGCTGCCTCTCTGTCGCAGCTGTCTGTCCCCACATGGCCTGCGAACTGAGCTCTTGCTCTCCCCGCTGTTGAAGATTCGCTTTGTTGCTTCTCTTTGAATTCTCTGATCTGAACTCATTTCCAACTTTCTCTCACCATTGAGTGTGCTCTGAAACTTCAAGGACCTGGTCATAACCTTTGTGCTTCTTACTTTGCTGGGCCATGAGCGATACTCCAGTTGGTTAACAGACCCTACCGAAGGCCATTCCAGAAACCCGAAGCAATCTCCTCTGGCTTCATTATTCACTTACCAGAAAAGCAGTTTCTAGATCTTCAAGGGAAACCAGAAGAAGCTTCCGGCCTTCAGTACTATGTACTGAGAAGCGGCTACCTGCCAGACAGGAACGAGATGCGGTGAATCATCTAAGTGGGGTGTAACGCGCCAGATAGCTCAGACGCCAAGGGAAGCAGGGTGATGGAGTGAATACACTGTGAAGTGGTCAGCTCAGCCCTGGGCAGGTGAAGGAGGGACAGTGCTCAGAATTTCACATCTGAGAAATCCGAGGCATGACGTACAGCATGAGCCGGCCTGCAGACTCTGCTGCCAGCAGCCTTCCTTATTCATCAGTCTCTGCCAGAGTCAAGACTCCCAGGCTGCCCTGTTGGCCGGTACAGAACTGGAATCACAGTCAGCAGCCGCCAAGGGAAAGAGAAAAAGTCCCTGCCTCCACAACAGGAAGAGTCTGGGGTAAGAAACGCTCCATTCACGCTGTCAATGGAACGTTGTTCTTGCCCAGGACTGAAAAGAGAAAGGGGAGCTTCCCTTCTGGTTCAGGGGAAAGAAAGAGGCCCCTGTGGGCAAAAAAACCTGCTCTAGTTATCAGCAAGGAAACCCCCACCGGGCTTTCTGGTCACACAGAAAAAGGCAAATGGACCCTTCCTGTCACTCCTCCATTTTGAAGAGAACACAAAGAGTGATACTTTATTATTATATTCTGTGTATACATGTGTGTATAAGTGTGTGTGTGTGTGTGTGTGTGTGTGTGTGTGTGTGTGTGTGTGTGTTCGCCATGGAACCATGTGGAATGCCATCTGGAGCTCAAGAGAGATTTCTACCGTGTAAGGGAGAGAGATCAAACTCAATTTTTTAAGCTTGGTGAGAAGCAATTGCTGACCCAGATAGAGGTGTTTTAAAAATGGATCTCTAAAACACTCGTCACTCTTCTCACCAAATTCCATCAGATGGGCAATGGCTTTTGATACAACGTTGGGTAAACTGAGCACAAAGCACCTCTCTGGAGCCACCGATGGTGCCATCACTGTTAAGATGACATGTGATTTTCCTAGAACTACATGCCTGACACCTCAGTAATGGTGTCTGGCACTTCCTGCAACTCTGCACTTTCTGTAGAGTGGCCCCCATAACCCTTACAGCAGCCTTTGCAGTTAGACTTTATTGTAATAGATAAGAAACTGCAGATGAACTGACCACCGTGTCCCTGTCCTATAGCCTGGAAGCCATGTAGCTGGAGTTAGATGGAGGATGGTTAGGCTGTGGAGGCCATAATTTAACCAATGTAACTGAGATAGCCAATCTCGCAGAATCTAGAGACACTAAGAGGCAAGCCTCTAGGCATGTCTGTAAGGTATTTTCTATCCACCTAAATGTGGGCATTGCCATTCTCTGGACTGAGATCCCAGGCCAAAAGAAAAGAAAAGAAAGAAGGAAGGAAGGAAGGAAGGAAGGAAGAAAGGAAGAAAGAAAGAAAGAAAGAAAGAAAGAAAGAAAGAAAGAAAGAAAGAAAGGAGGAAAGAAAGGAGGAAAGAAGGAAAGAAAGAAGTGATTGGAGTAGAGGTATTTATCCCATGCTGCCTCATGCTCCTGCTGCCTTACCTGCCACCCCTCCACCACCACGATGAGCTGTACTTTCAAACCCAAGCCAAAATAAACCCTCCCTTCCTTCCTTAAGTAGTATTTGCCAGTACTTTGTCAGGGCAATAAGGAGTCACCCCCACAGCCAAACTGATCTCTGTTGTAATCTCTTCTTGGGAATCCAACCTTGTCCTGCGTCAGACCAGGAAAAGGCTGATGGCGAAAGTCCAAAGGCAAGTGTCCCTCTTCCCAGTTCAATGTGAGGACAAAACTTAACTGGGTGTGCTTGACCTGAGCCGTGGCGCTGGACAGATGCTGCCCCACTCCCAGAGCTGTAGACTTCCCACAGGAGACTTTTTTTTTCACTTGAAGAGTTATTCAAATCAGGGAAGACACCTGAAATTCACATACACACCATACCCCCCGACGGGGAAAATGCTCTGAATGTCCACTCTGTAACTGCTCTGATTCAGATATGCTTTTGGGATGGTACTGAAATATTAGAGCAACATGGCCAGCGAAATGAGACCCCTGGAGCAAGTGTTGAGGAGCATGCCTGCAGCCATTTTTACTGTAAGTAATTTTTACAGTAAAGTTATTGATTATTTAGTATCTCAGCCCGGAGGCTACTAATGCTTTAGAAGGGGATGACTGGGCTTCTGTGAGAGAACACACCCAAAGCTGCATCTGTAGCACTCGTGAGCGTCACTACCTGGACTCCACTGATTTGAAATGTCCCTTACTCTTCCTTCATTTAGTGGGTGTCACCTCAAAGCCATCACAGCAACCACAGCTGCAGTTTGGCTGCAATTTCCAGAAGCCTCTGGAAGTGAAAATCCCTCACCACTCTTCTTTGACTACGGTACTACTGTACTCCACTTTGGTTATAGTCACTGCGGTGCGGTTGAAGTGACCTGAAAGTTGTCAATGACCTCCCTCAATGGCCCTGCTTTACTCAGACCATACGAGTTCTTAATTTGTTCGGAGTAAAGTGACACACCTCCTGCGCAGCCTGTATCCGAGAATGTGGCGAGGGGGTCGGGATTGATGACACAGAGACTGGTTGGTTGCCTTAAGAAAACTTTATGCTCCCCAAATTGGCTTAGGAAAACTTCCCAAGAAAAACGCTTCCCTTCAGAAAAACTTCTGCCATACATACACGCACAAATCTCCCACATATCTCTCTTTTTTCCCCTCCTGGCTGGTGGTTAAATCTCTGACACCAGAATCGGGAACAGCAGGGAGCAGAAAGAAGTAGCTAGCCATTGGGAAGATCAAAGTCAGGGTGTTTCAGTGAGCAAGCCCTTATCAAGCCCTTATCAGGAACTTATGGCTTTGGATTGTTTTCAGTAAACATTGTCTCGCAGCTGCCTGCTCCCAGGCTGATGGAGGAGTGGGTTTCCGGCCAGGGTCTGTGGTCCCCACAGTAAAGATCTGAAGGAGTTCAGTTCAGTCGCATTTAGCAAATGAAATGTCCCCCACATTGCTAAGCCCAGACAAGGCATGTCCATTTATTAATGTTTAGCTGGGGGGAGGAAGTGGGCTATTACATCTGTGTGTTTCAGGCAATGGTTGTCTTTGTTTGTTTGTTTGTTTGTTTTGTTTTGTTTTTCAAGACAGGGTTTCTCTGTATTGTTTTGGCAGCTGTCAACTTGCTCTGTAGACCAGGCTTGTCCAGGCTTGTCTTGAACTCACAAGAGATCAGCCTGCCTCTGCCTCCCGAGTGCTGGGATTAAAGGCTTGCACCACCACAGCCCGAGGTTGGTTGTCCATTTTTAATTGGCCCCATATCTCTGTGTCCCTGTGCCTGAAGAGACAGGGTAGCCTTGACAGACCTTCCGGTCAGTCTCAGTTCCAACCTTAAATCTCTCTCTTAATTTGTTGGACTTTCCCATGCCATGCCTCAGTTTCCTGGCTTGAAAATTGGGGGGAAATCTTACCAACCTCATGAAGTTGCCATGAAAATTAAATGGCTTCATCACTGGTTTAGGATGGGGAGGAAATCAGTCCACTATCCCCCACTGTTGACACTCTCTTGTGGATCCCTGGGGATACCTGAACTCCCCACCAAAGCCAAAAACTTAGAAGTAGCAACCTTTGTGCCTCTGAAGTGGTAAAACTTGGAAGTAGCAACCTCTGAATGATAGTATATCCTGTCATCTTCAGGCCTTTTACAAACTAGATTAGCCCCTCATTTTGTGGTTTGAATGCAGATAGATACAAAGGCAGGACGAGCCTCTTCAGTAATGCTAAATATGCTATCTGTGCTCACGTGTCCTGCCTGGATGACCTGTAATTGGGCATTTTTCCCTCTTGTACAATTCCTCACCTGCACCAGATTGCTCCAAATGATTCCAGGTGGCTGGGAGCTGTGCCCTTGTTTGCCTAAATGATCTTCTGACCTTGCCTCTGTTCTCATGTGACTGGATCTCTGTGGTTCTATTTAAACTTCCCAATGGTTTTCCTTGGTGCAGCTGAGGCCTAGAGACTTCTCTTTCTAGGGCAGCAAGCTCTCCTAGGATTTCTTTGAATAGTTGTACTCCTACATCTGTGACCATTCGGAATAATTAAGAGCCCTGAACACTCTTGCTTAAATGGTTCTTAGGTTAGCAAAGGCTAGGACAACTCTTTGAAAGTTTCAAGTTTGATCTTATTATAGGTCTTAGACCTTCTGTCTTAGTTGTTCTGAACCCCTCTTACATATCAGTAAATGCTCATTCTGTCTCTAAATCTATCAACCTACTGTCTGTTTCTCCTCCCTCTGTCTCTTTCTCTCTCTCTATGCCTCCCCATATTATTTTTTTCTTGCCTTACCCCTGTCCTGATGTACTCTTCACATCAGACTTTTGGCAAAATCTAAGCTACATGTAACTCTTTAGAACAGTGGTTCTCAACCTGTGGGTCACGCTCCCCACAGTGGTCACATATGAGATATCCTGCATATCAGATACTTACATTATGATTCACAACAGTAACAAACTACAGTTATGAAGTAGCAATGAAATAATTCTATGGTTGGGGGTCACCATGGCATGAAGGACTATATTAAAGGGTCACCATGTAAAGGAGGTTGAGAACCACTAGTTTGGAGGCAAGAAAGTAGTCTGGGCAAAGTAGCGGCATCCCTTTAATCCAAGCTCTTTTTTTTTTTTTTTTTTTTTTTTTTTTTGGTTTTTATGAGACAGGGTTTCTCTGTATTGTTTTGGAGGCTGTCGGTCTAGCCCGGCCTCGAACTCACAGAGATCCGCCTGCCTCTGCCTCCCGAGTGCTGGGATTAAAGGCGCGCGCCACTACCGCCCGGCTTTAATCCAAGCTCTTAAGAGGTATAAGCACATGGATTCCTTTGAGTTCTAGGCCAAAATGGTCTACATAGCAAGTTCAGGTCACCCCAGGGTACATAGTGAGACCCTGTGTTATAACTAACCTTGGTTGTCAACTCGACACACCTAAGAAGAAACTTGAATTATCTGGGGGAAAGGGAACTTGAATTAAGGGCTGGGCTGTGAGCATGTCTGTGGGACATTTTCTGGATTGTTGATAGATATCACATGGTCTTGTCCACTGCGGGTGGTGCCATCATTGGGTAGGGTGGTCCTGGGCTGTGTAAGAAAGGTACTGAGTAAGCCAGAGGAAGGAAGCCAATAAGCAGTATGCCTTCATGGTTTCTGCCTCCAGGTTCCTGCTTGAGTTCCTGCCTTGGTTTCCCCTTATGGACTGGAAGCCAAATAAGCCCCTTTGCTCCCCCAAGTTGTTTTTGGTGACAGTATTAGTCACAGCAAAAGAAAGCAGACTGGAATACACTGTCTCAAAAAGAGCTCTTCTCAGAAGGCGGCAGAGTAGCATGCTACATTCTGCATGTTTTCTTTAGATACTGAGGATTATGTCTCTGCAATATTGGTGAGATACA